TCATAAAAGAAACAATGGAAAATGCATTTATGTCGAAATCAACAATAATTTTCAAGACAACCGACCCAAGTGCATCGCTCTTTTATCAGCAACGTATGACTTTTCACAACGCGTGCCGATTTATAACTAGTGACAGACAGAAACTGTTCAATTATATTTGGCATCATTACCAGTCAAACCACGGTGACAGTTTCAAAATTTGAAAGTTAATCCTGTGTTTCAGGATGGAACAGTAATTGAGACTACATATCGATATAACGACAATCTCAGTTACATCAAAGTATTACAATGTTTTCTTTTTTTAATTTTGTTTTTGCAGCTAACATCTCCATACATTTTCTAAGACTAATCGTCAAATATGTAAAATACACTTTTTGTCTATAGCAATTACCAAACAGTTTTTCCCCAGCTTATCTCAATCATTCTTTTTGTGCCCTGACAGAAACACACAGAGGATTTAATTCTTAATATGTGAGGAAGCTGGAGTATCCGGAGAAAAACCCGCGTGGTCGGGCAGGTGACCGGAATTGAATCCGGCCATCTTGTTGAAGACGAGCGCACTTTCCACTGCGCCACCCGACCCATCATATACGTTACGCACAAGAACAAATATCTACTTTAGCTTTGACTGGAAGAAAATTGCGTCATTGATGCATAAATTATAATGTGAATACATTTGTATCAATCATCAATTATACAAAAAATCACTTTTGAGAGGGTAGAAAGAAAATCATGATCTCGATTCTAGCTATGCGAATTTTTTGAAACGGAATTGCTACTTTTTTACGGTCAAACGTGTAACAAACTGACAGCTTCAAATGATAATACATAAAAGCCAAGCCAATCACTCACTATCATATTGATGTACGATAAGAATTGATTGAAATATCAATGTGGGCCCGAATAGGTTCGGCCAATGACACCGTGGCAAGTTTGGTCCATGTAACACATAAAAAGGCGTAAAATCTGACACTGCATGCTTTATGACGTCATAATTAAGTTGATTTCAATGGGGGCGAACTTACTCCAATACCTGTCCGAACTTACCCCATGCCAGAGCTCGTTTGGCCATCCGATCTTCCGATAGGAAAAGTTAAATAATGTTCAAAAACGGACGTGCTGCCATATTTCACAGAACGGACTAATAAAAACGGTCTCCCCTATTGTTATGTCGGTCTTAATGTCATTAGAGTTTGTGTTTTATTGTTATTCCCCGACTTGCCAACTTTAAAAAGGTTTCTGAAAGCAGTATTATGAATCAGTAAATATCAGAGATCAACAGAAGCTACGCTCTTTTAAGGCTTTGCCTTTTCATATTATCCATGTTGTAGTAACACAGTCAATTATGTTAACATAGCATTGGTATTATGAATGGTAAGGTTGCAGGAACAGGGATGATCATTTTATACTTCAACTTTGAGTTAAGCAAATAAAACAAATAATTGCCAAACTGTTTTGACGTTATACCAGCGGAGATATCGTCTGGGTCGTCAGTTGTACTTGATACTTCTTCAACACTATTTTACAAGGTTCTCCGAGATAGTTTTAATGTATCAGTATTCTAAAGCTAGTTTATTCGGTGCACCCTCCCCCCCCCCCCCCCCAATAAAAAATTCAAAAAAATCAAAACACCAAATAAAAATCACATCAGGACAAATCTTGTTTAAATCACTGTCAAATGTACCTTGTTGATTTATCTGATTGAAGAACCAGTTCACTGTTTTCCGTACCAGTCTCGTAAAATAATCTCCGCCATTTATCCTTATCTAAAAAGTGACTACCTCATAGGGTTAATGGACTTAACCATGTGTGATACTGACATACATTAGGCTAATGCTGCGACACCTTTTAAATGGAGTGGCATGTGACGATATCGCCACGTTTTCACCCATAACTCACTGAAAGGAAACCAAATCTTAAACCTGCATGTATGTATGTGGGAAGTTTTGCGTCATAACCACGTATACAAATTATACAATATATATAATATATAAGATTGTCTTAAGGATCCCTGTGCGTAATCCTATATATAGTTACTTCACCTTAACTACCGTTGGGATATGATTGTAGAACAGTTTGGGTATCAATGTTGTTATAATTTGTTTATTTCAGCTTTATTATGTTTCATGATTGTTCCGTAAGGTATGGTTTTCTAATCAAAAATAATTTATCAAAACTATAGTCATACAGGTTCGGCAGTGGGACGGGGATCCTAAAAAAATATGGTAACGTACAATGATTTATACAATGTACATATAATTATTTACAGTAAATATACTTTGTAAGTTACCAATTCATATTATTACCTCGTGCAAGATTTGGGAAAAGAATAGAATATCTCACTGCATACATACACACAGGCACGCATACCTTACGCATATGGATGCAGGTCATCAAATGAGCTGTTTATAGTACGTAAAAACACAAACCATTTCAGGCACTAGGTGCAAAGCAGTAGACAGCTTAACTGAACTGTGTTAAGATAATAGGTCCGTTCATACATAGGTAAAGGAGTTTGGGTTTCGTTTGAAGACGAAAATCTACTTTAGTTGTGTCTAAAAAGTTGTGGAGTAAGTCCGTCCATAAATAGGTAAAGGTGTTTGGGTTTTATTCAAAGAAGAAAACTACTTTATTTGTGTCTAAAAAGTTGTTGATGTAGTTTCTGTCCTGGAATAAGATATATTAACAGGCATTTGCCTTACAAGGTTTGGTTTTATTTGGATTTACATCTTATTAACAGCCAAAGCCAGTTAAGAACTATTTCAATGTGATCAATTATTGTTTGTATGTGCGCTGGAGGGGGCATGTTGGTAACTTTTCCTACTCCTAAATCGGGAACTGTCGGCACTGTCCGTAAATTTTCTCGTTTACGGAAAGTGCCGACGGTTCCCGATTAAGCGCGGATCTGATGCCGACTTCAGAGTGCTACCTTACTCATATACCTGTCAGGATCGATTGGAAAAGACAAGAAAACACTATAAATACTGCGTTCTTTTTTTTTACCACGACTCTATGTTTCTCATCTGTAATGGACGCTAAAACAAATAATATCAAAACCAAGCCCCCGCAGATGACTGTTTCTCCATTATGCCCTAAAAGATCCTGCCGAAAGGAACTAGTTAGGATGTGCGAAAAGACAAGATAATTATGGGCTCTAAGTGATTTGAATGTAGCAGCCAAAACATTTTTAATATTCCCTTGAAGACAACAGAGGACGAAATCCGATTCTGCCGGGGGTCCCACACTACTCACTTTTTACGATTTGCCGTTGAAATCAGTAGGTCCTTTTTGCCCAGAAACATTGAAATACTCGTTAAAATTAAAGAAGAGAAAAAATCCAATTTCCCGAAGTGTTTTAATACCCCCTCGGTTTATTAATAATTTTTAATTAAAAGAAAACCCAATATAATTGTAATTAATAACGTACCTTGAAAATGTGATCTTCGGTCTAGTATAAAAAAGAATCTTGTTGTCGCCAAAAACTATGATAACGTAAAAGCTTTTGCACATTATTACCCTACGATGTCGGCAAATGTCTTACTAATTGCCTTGAGACGATATTTCCTGCATTCAATGCAATGAGTTGACAATATAGCGTTCACACTCAACGGCGTCCACAATATTGTCTTGTTTGTATGAGCTGTATTCTAATGATAATAAAATGACATTTTCGTATTCTAAATTGAAATGATTTGTTCTGATATGAAATATTGGAATTTTCGTATTCAAATGATTCCGACAAAACCCATAAGGAAATAATCTGTCTGTTTGACCGCGATCTGAAAGTACATTAAGGCAGTGAAAACCAGAACTGTAAGCTAAAGGCTAACTAATACCCTGCTCCTATATAAACCAGAACTGTAAGCTAAAGGCTTACTAATGCAAAGCAATATAGTCTCCCACCAGTAATGATTTCTTTATTGGAAGAGCTGTACACTGTTTTAAGTATATAGGTCACTCTCATACTTCCTGTACTCCCTCTCGATGCCAAAACATACTTGCAAACCAATACTTGTTAGCCCATATGAACGAGTTTTGCTGAAAGATGTAATCCAGATATCTCCTCCAATATAAAGATGTAATACACATAAAATTATCTCCACCAATTCTAGGGACCAGCCTTGTAAGCTCTCCACTCTATTCCGTCTTTGCGTATTGCAGAGTTATCTTCTCTTGGGAGCAGGTATTGATTGTTACGTCACTTGTTTGTGAGAGTAACGTCATCAATTTTTGAGAAAACGACGTAGTTTTCTCACACAAACCAATGACGTAACAATTGCCTATCTAAACAAAACAAGTATTTCGCACAGAGAAAATGATAACTCCATCAAAAAGGTTAGAAATTCCGAATAAAAATGCCGGTGCACAACTACATCAGATAGCGAACATTCATGCAAAGTTTCAATGGAATATACCTTTTAGTTAGGGAGGAGTTGCACGAACAAGTATTTCGCACAAAGGGGCATGACTCCATCAAAAAGGGTCGAAATTATAAATTAAAATGCCGGTGCACAACTACATCAGATAGCGATCATTCATTTAAGGTTCAATGAATTCCACCTGTTAGTTAAGGAGGAGTTTTTCGGACAAGTTACAGCGGACGACAGACATACATCCAGACAGACATCCATGGTGATTCCAGTATCCTCCCCCCCCCCAAAAAAAACAGCCTTCGTTGTGGGGGTATAAATATAACTTGAGCAGATGCAATAGAACTAAACGGCGACTTTAAAGCAATTTCTCAAAAAAATATTCCAAGCTAATCTGTATTTTATATCATTCGAATAAATATAGAAATGACATAATGTTTAACGGTAATTACATCATTTTTGTAATAGCTGTTTTACGTTTTAACTTAATTGACTGTTTGCATTTGCATTCAACCGTTACGATCTAATGATGGCAGGCTGACACGAGCTAGAGGGGAAAACAGTTATCTTTTGAAATTAATGGGGTGTGTCGTGAGTATAAATGTAGGAATTAATTAAGAAACGCGGGTTAGTCGATTCGTACCTCTACACACTTGACAAGGTAAGCCTATAAGAATATACTATTAATTTGTCAACTCATTTCCCAGTATTATCATTAAGCCACTCATTCTTATTCATTTTTTCATTTCATTAATTTGTGTTATACATTTAACCGTTTTATTACATTATCAGTATGGTAAATAATTAAATATCGTCATTACAATAAAGATATACAAAATGTTATATCTTCACATTGTCCAGTATCTTTATAATGAACAATCAAATAGTATTTTCTACTTATTGCCACAGGTTTTGTGTTCAGATGAAGATACACAAACTTATCAATATACCTACGTAATTGATATATCTACGTAATTGATAACATTTTTGTAATCAAAACCCTCCAGAAAATAGCAGAAAATGGTATCATTCGTCGAGTAGGCCATTCTAAATGGCGCACGACCTTGTATAGTGTGACGTAATTAGATACTGGCGTCAAATATTACACTTGAATTAACGCTTTTTTGGGGGCAACAATATTTTCAGCGTTTTACATTACAATGTTATAGACTAAAATTAAAGGTTTTTCCTTTAAAACACCATATACATTTACTTGTATAGCAGAATATACCAATACGTTCACTCGTCCTATGCTCATGAAATAAATATGGTTTTCATCGGAAAACCATGAAATACTCTCTGAATATTTTTGTCTCGCGAATAATTACCATCTATCATCGCAATATATATATATATCATTTTAAGTAAAAGAGTATGTAATTAAGCCTTTATGATATAAGGGAACATAGGGTTTATTGAAATTCACGATGGGATGACAGGTTCCGTCACTTCTCAGTATCGGCTGCTTGCTTCTGTGTCTTTTGCTTGCTAAGGGGAGATTCAAGAAACTACAATTTATCTGCTGGCACCATTGCATATTTTTCTCTTTAGTTCTTAAAAAACATTTTGGTTTCCTAGCACCTTGTTTGGCAATACCTCACTTTTGGTGTAAGTGTTGAGCATACGTCTAGGTGAGGTAGGCAATGGGTTCTGTAACCAGGCCGGGACATACCAAAGGCCTTAAAAATTACACTTGATACAACCTGCTTCACGTTTGGCACAGCAATAACGTTCTTACCACTTGTCAGTTTAATAGGACGCTGTGAAATACTGTGTTCGGTGCTTTCGGCATGGTATTTCAGTGATGTAGTACTCCAAAGTCGGCATCAGGTCTGCGCTATCGCAAGGAGGCAAAAAGAACAGCATATCCTGCCTCAAACACACATACACGCAATCACGCATACATTACACACATGGCGGCAATTCTGTGCTGTTAAAAGAACGTTTAGCAAAATATAACCAAACCTTTTCTAAGTATATATATATGGGAGTAAGATTAAGTGTAATGTTTGAGACCGAGGTCGCTTCAGATTCTATTCCCGTATTCATACAGACACCAATTGATGTCACAAATTAATTTGTAAAATAGAAAAAAAATAGCATTAACATAGTTTAGTTCATTAATTTTCAGGCGTGGTTTGTTTTTATTATGTTTATAGTCCTATAAATAGCCAAGGTAATTTAAGGACGTTACATCTAAGGAATACACATTGACTGTCTATGGATTTTACAGTGACTATGGACCAATGAATTGATAGGTTTCTAGTCCAAGGTCTCATATTCTGTAAGTCGTTTTTATCTCCCCTGGTCCAAGAGACCGATGAGCTTATGTCGTTGCGCGGCGTCCGTCATTCTACATATTTTACGCTACTAGTCTTGAACTGGCCCAATGAATTTTGATTGATATTAGTCTAGATTCTCTTTGGGTAAAGTAGACTCCATATAAATGGAGGGGCGGGCAGAAATGGGGGAAATTCAGGTAAGTATTTACAATCAATATGGCCAACAGAATGATCTTTTTTATCCGGTCTGGATCAACGTTTGTCAAAGGGGTTTCTACTCCTTATAAACTTTGGGTGAACCAATCCCACTCTAGAAAAGATGGGCAAATCTTAAGGTATGTATCAAGAGAGAGCCCCC